GTGCACGTACCGCATCGTTGAAGTAAAGTTCAATCAATCTGTAAGACTCTTTGTAGACTTGGTTATTGTCGTGATCCTGAAGTTGCTCCAGTTTGTCAAGGCCGCCACAAGTCTCCAATTCGATGCAGGCATTTTCCAAATGTCCATATTGTTCGGATATCTAGAAAATACCGAAAAAACATGTCCAAAGTGAACAATCAATACTGAAAAATGTGATTCAACAATCAGATATGCACTCTGTTGCTCACTGTTGCTCGTTCATGTACAGTGTTTTTAACCAGCGGAAGCTGGGTTTAATGCACTAGCAAATTTAGTCCGCGTGTAGTCGTGAGTGCCGGAACCTTCAACTTCTGTTGCTACTATACAAGTTGATCGATAGACTTGTCTGATGCGCACCAAGGAATAACTAGCGTTTGATACGAGCTGTGCATAAAAACAGCTGTTGGATCGCTAGGGATAGCATGGTGGAGACTAATTCAGCCAGGCTGCTTACGTATTTGCAACCAAAACCTCGCTGGAGGTCCGCTTATTGAAGCACAAAGTTAGGAGCATCAAGCAATATTCAAACAATGGAAATCTGCAAGTCAAACGGACTTCGCTCAACATTTTCGAATCCAGTTTACTTTCGCCAACAGCTTCTGGTTTATTGCATAACTTGCGGAAGCAGTAAATCATCATTGAGCAACCCATTGATCATATTAATTTTGAAGGGATCAGACAAGNNNNACAAGAATGGGACAGACCACTGGGCGATAAGTTTATTCCGTGACCAGTGTTAGCTTTTGTGATACTTCGCAACCGAAACAAATATCCGCGTACATGCCGGATTGCAACCGAAAAAGGCTGCATCGAATAAATCTTCAGGCTGCGTCAAGTGCTTGAGTTACGCCATACACCGTTGATCATTGATGACAATGTTAGTTTATCTGATGTGTTTGACTTCCTTGCCCGTAAAGCCCGGTTATTTCTCCGTAAAGAAATGCCCAGAAATATTATATCATACTGAGGTCATTGTGCTCATACCCTCCTAGTCCTGTCTACAGTGAACTATTCTGCTCTGCCGTAGACGAAACGGACAACACACTAAGTGGTTTCAAAAATGTTTTTACTGCATGGATAACTGGAGAAAAGCTATGCGGACTGGAGTACACTAAAATGTTTTCAATGTGTAGTTAACATAGGCGTTCTGCATCATCAAAGTACAAAGTGATCCTACAATACTGGGAGTCGACTTCCACTGCCTAAAATCTAGGGGATCATGAGTTTATTGTGGCTGATTTTTTTATTGAAGCAATTACATCCCCAATGAGGCGTAATAAACTGAGTCAACCACACGCATTTTTGAGGCTCCAGTTGCGCTTATTGTTTTGGCGTTGGCACCGTGCTTGTCCGCAAGCCAGTGGTATATATATATATATATATATGAGATATCTATGTGGATGCTGCACCCCACCGAAGTTAAAGATTATATATGCTGGTTCACCGTGTGGCTGACTTGGAGGTTGCGGGGGGGGAATTTTCGTCGATTGACCATCGATGCTTGGGTAGTCTGACGCAGTTAGGGTAAGGCGAGCGGACGGTTAACACCGGGTTAGGTCATTGTTTATGCAGATGAGCCTCAGTGGAAAATTCGTAGTGACACCGTATCCGTGTGAATGAGCTTTGTTGGTTAAGAATCCTTGAGCAGGTCCAGCAATCATCTTTCGCAGTTTTTATGCAGTTGCTGCTCCAGGTAGAACATAACCATGCACTTGTAAAGTGGTTAGCTAAATGACTAGAGCTTGTTAGAACCCAATTAGCGAGGCATAGTATATGAAACAGATAAACTTTTGTGAACAGCATTTGTGACTTAAACTTGATGGGTTGAACAATGCTCTCACTGGTTAACAGCTCGCTCTTCACCAATCTTCCAATCACGGAAATCATTAGGTATCCGTGTTATTTACAAAGTAAAAATATGGAGAGAGGTCTTTCCTTAGAAAACATGAAACAACTGCCTTAAATTGCTAAGCGATTGAGTGCAATAGTTGTTACCTCAAGAACCCTTACGTATATTATTAGATTGATACAAATGTATGAATGTGCGTAGTCCTGCATGGTACCAAATGCGTCTTGTGACAGCAGATACATAGTCGATTACCAAATGAGTTCAAGCTCACAGAGATGCGGTAGCGGACGATCAACCGTATTTGTCGAGGACACACTGAGCTCTCGTCCGGTTAAAACTCTAATATGAAACCCACCATAATCCGCAGTGACAGGATGTTTTCGGACCATCTCTGAATAATTTAACTACTCTCGTCATGTTCTATTTATTCCATGAAGTATTCTGGAAGAGATAACTATCCAAACAATTGGTTCGGCTGAAATAACTCTGCTGTCGCCAGGTTACGTTTGGGTGTCCTGGCGAGAAGTGCAGAGTCAATCAAAATAACAGGATGATATTCTGAACTGGGTGAACGACCGGTAAAACTACGTGCTCCCAGCACATGAAACCCAGTAAGGGTCCAAAACACAAACCAATCGGTCAGTCCATCGAAAATAAGTTTTTCACTGTCAGTGTTTGCGTTTAATTCTTTTGTTTGAATAATCATTAGGCATGCGCCTCCGTGCGTCGCTTTTGGTTGGTCTTTTGGCTGTCCATTTGGAAGAACAATAGGGGAAAAACACGAAGGGTGAGAGCAGGTTTGAAGAGAAAATGAAGTTCACTGGACTAATGATGCAAAGAAATTGAGATGCACGAACGCCAGTGTATACGACACCCAGCCATATCATTCGGTGCCTAACCATCGGTTACGATCATCCCGAGGTCCCCATTCAGGGAGCCTAACGGGACCTATGTGGCTCAGACTCCTGGTTAGGGTTTTCATACCCTCATGCCAGGTCTCAGGTTGACCGCCCTTGGCTTTGTTCTACCCAATATCTGCCACGGTGAAAATCGCTCGACGTGGCAACCTATCGGGTAGCATATGCCTCAACCACCTAATCTATGGAGGTCGACCACTTGCTCCAGTGGACGACCGCGGTTACCTAAAACTTTGCGCCTGACTTCAGCGTTGCTCGTTTGGCTGTCCCACCAGATTCGTGCATCGCTGCGTAGACAGCGGTATTCAAACACCGACAGACCATCTTCATCCTGTTTCCTTAATGGCCACTTTTCTACT